GTGACTATTACCTGTTCCCTAACTTGAAGCGGGACATTCGTGGTCGTCGATTTGAGAGCGACGAATTGCTGAAAGACACTGTGGAGGCCCATTTCGAGAGCAAGGAAGAAAGTTACTACAGAAGGGGCATAGAGCTACTTCATGAAAGGGCCAACAAGTGCATTCGTCTTAAGGGGGAATATATTGAAAAATAATACCTTGTTCAATTTTTTAATAAATTTTTTCTTAGTCAAAACAGGAACTTTTGGACCTCCCCTCGTACATGAATATAATTTTCTTCTGGCAGGATAAGAACTCAAATATCATATATATTTCTTTCATTATTCTGCTAAGATTCATTGCTTCATATCCATATGAAATCGCATTTAATGCACTCACCCGTTTCAGGTCGTGCATTCCAGGCTCCCCCGCCGACATGTACATAGGTGATTCTTTCGACGAATCGAGAAAGCAAAGGGGAGAGTCCTCCGACCCCATGGCCGGAGGTCGAGTCGCTCTGTGACGGCAGCCGTTCTCTCTGCGGTGAGATGCCTCTTGGGAGGCGGATAGTAGACTACGGCGCTCGCTCTCGGGCTGGCCTTTGAGGATGCGTAGGGACAGTGTTCGATCGGGATGCTTCAATGCGATGGGGGGGGGGGAGGAATGATGTTTTTCCTGGTGAAGTTTGGGGCAGGTGTGCGTGCACTCAATTCTGCATTTAAATGTGCCTTTCGACTTCATGCAGGGCGTCTCGAAAAAAAAAAACAGATGGAATGTGAAGTGCCCGAACCAATTTATTGTTACGAAATACGTCTGCATTCTATTGCGAATCAAGGATGATATGCGAGAATTTGAATGTTTTGACAAGGGTAGGAAGTATTGTGATGCAATCGGTCCAAATTTTTTTCATCCAACTGTTTTTTGGAAGCAGCAGACTTCAAGTAATAGATCAAGAAAATACGTTCGTCAGTTCCGCAATCATGCCCGTAAGCAGTTACATCTTCATATTGGGCTGGATCGTTCCCCGACTTCACGGTTGTCTCTCTGTCCTCAGCTCTTCCTTCCATAGCAGTCGTGAAAGACAGCGGCGATTCCCTTTAACGCGTTATGGCTTCTTTCCGACTTCATTCCCACGGATCATTCATAGCCAAGTTTCGAGTTCGATTGGGATTGGCCGGTCTTGCAGCTTTACTGGAAGGGCCTTCACAAAAGGGAGAACTCGAATTTTCTGCACAACGGGTATGATGATCACACGAAATGAACTGCACGACATCTTATATATTGTCAGGGTTAGGGAGTAAAAGCCTACTACCCCCCTGAAAGGGGGAGTGATTGACCCTACACCGATACTTTAATCCACCGCCGCTAGATGCCGCTAGCGACCCCCTTCGATCGTGAATAGCAGGCGTACATGAAAGAGAAAGTTAAATTTCCATCTCGGAATTAAATTAGCCAAGGAAGCCTCTAGTGATCCTAGGCAGGTAGTTGGAACGAGGAGCTGACGTGTCCTAGCTCGGAACCTTAAAGGACATCTGGCCTCGTCAATGATGGCCTCACGGTTACTAGGGCACTTGGCCACTCGAGAACACCCAGGGAGAGCGTCGTATTCCCGGGGGGAAAAGTGAAACTGACTTCGCCTTCCACCAACCATACGTCCTGTGTGGCATGTATGTGCTTACTCGAGCCTAAGACACCGTGAAAACGATTCATTGTTACTCTAGAGATATTATTAAGATGGCTCTGGAGACTTCCTAGTAAGTATGCTGAAAATCCCATTCATTTTAATCTCTGGAAGTAAATGTGTCAAGCAGACGACTAAGAGATTCAGAGCGACGTACTTGAGTCGACGTAGCCACCGAGCCCGACATTAAATATTGAGAACTTTTTTTATTGGAAATCACTCATGAGGTTTACTTTTGAGCACTTTTCTAGAATGGGATTATAATTCATGAGGCAAAACATATATGCAGTTCCGACACGACTCGAAAAACACATACACTAATTTCAAAAAATAGCCATATTTTATTGTATTTACCCTTTCTGCATGCTTTGCCAAATAGTATAAAATCCCTTCATGATATTTGTTACCGGTTTGCTTCTGGAGAGCCATTAGTGATTCCTGTTTTGTGCCAGACAATGGAAATAAAGACGACTTACAAAAAATGTCCTGAAAATCACTGAAGGAATCTCTGAAGTAAAAGGTACTTACGATTTGGTGCAATCTCGGGAATCAAAGCTGCAATGGGCTACGTGCAGCAGTTGTTTCTTGAAAGAATAATCCAAATTCGGATTTTCTGTTGGAGTCGGTCCTGTTACTCTCCGAGTAACAGGACCGACACCAACAGTTTCTCCCTCGTCCGCATATTGGGTATCCGCTTCTCTACCATCGACCACCGATGGAACGATGGAGACTTTCTTCCTCATCAATTCTTCGATTTGAAACTAAATATTTGCACTGAGGTTCTATGCAAGGGAAATTTAATGTCGTGTCGCCTACCTCTATAAGCTCCCCCGCTTCCTGAAGTATATCTGGACCCTGACAGACTCCGATCGGCCGAGGTGTTTTTCCTTTCACGGTTCTCATGGGCGTGCTTTTATGTAGCACATGGGTGTGCACAGATAAAAAAAAAGTGAGCCTCTTCTTCTATCTCATCATGATAATGAAAACTCCGGAATCTATCAATAGTATCATACCTCAACGTCCATCCTACAGGACGAGAGAGAAATTATAAGAACTCTCGCGCTCGTCGGCTTTCTTGCGTCGTTTGTGAACGTTTTCAAAGGAGTAAATGTGATGCAAACGGTGACGAAAGAGCAGATAATTCTGTAAATCTGTGTCTTGAACAACGGACACCCGACGAGGAAACCGCGGTGATGGGTTTCCATGTCCACGCAGGTAGCGAAGAGCTCACGAATAGCCCCATTTTCCATTACGGGCGCATGAAATCACTCAATTTACGGTAGCAATGCCACTTTCCCCTGACGAGTCCTGCGCCAACTCCGGTCTCCTCGTCCATCCTGAAGAATAAGAGAGGAGTGAATCACCAAATTTCCCTGGAAGTTGCCTGGAAGTCCCTTTCGTGGGACGAATCTTTAAATTTAATTTTGGAAAGCCACATCCCGGATGATGAAGAAGATCTATGTGAAAACCCCAGTTCATATCTTGAATCATTTCGCTTGTTGTTCTGTCATACACAAAACACAAATATGTCGCTCGGCTTACGTAGCGGTCAGGAAAGGAGGATAACATCACTGAAAGAAAGGGTGGATCTTCCTTCGAAAGGCCTTCCATGGAAATTATCATCCATCCAGCGCCTTTTAAGACAAAACTGTAGGAGCCGATTTCTATAGGCAAAAAAATGTCAGAGGTTCCACTTCCCCCCACTTGGAAGGATTCGTCACCTTTCTACTCCAACGTTTAATTCTCAGGCCTCTTGGTTGGAATGCTACTGTTCCGGAATTTTGGGTATTTTTTCGTTAGGATTTTTTCCTCTTCCAGGAATTGGTCGTTAGGGGAAAGTCCTTCCAGAGAAGTCTCCTTTCGACGAAAAAACTTTCCAGGTTCAGGACGGTTCGTGTAAAAGTCCGCTATGGAAATTTATCTTTCTGGGAATTTCCTCTGAGGGAAGATTGCGCGAATCGTCCAGCAACATCCTGTTTATCCTCTGCTTATTCGCATGAAAAACCTCCACTTTGCGTTTTTCTGGCGTTGTTCACCACTGACCCCAACAAGTGCGACGATTCACACGCGTGACGAAGGGGAATCGCGGCCTGGAGATAAAAGGAGGCGCCGGCGCCGGAGACCCTCATGTTCGCTTTTCTCTCTTTCTGCCCTACCGATTTCCTCCCACCGCCAAGATGCAGAAGCGCTTCGTCGTTCCCTCCCTTTTCTGCCTCCTTCTCCCTTCCATCCGTCCGACAACCGGGCAATACCCATGTCCCAATCCGGAAGACATTTCCCCTTGCGCCTGCTCCGCACTTGAGGATAAAGTGTACGTGAGCTGCTTCAATACAACCTCAAGCGACGACATCTTCTCCGCCTTCAACAACGCCTTTTGGCCCGTTACAAACCTCACGTGAGTAAGTTGGTGCTCAGCGAGTGATGGAAAGGCGTTATTGATCAAATTTCACTCATGCATGGCATTTTTTCTTTACTATTCCCATTCTGGAAATGTAAGAAAACGTTCTATTGGTACCGGGAAGGAATATATAATGGAAGTACCCACCTTTCTTCCAGATGGAAATGATTCTAGGAAGCGGATCTGATATGAACCCTTCATTCCATCTTTATAACTAATAACTCGGCATGTGGAGTTCGGGCAGGTCAGTTTTAAAGACTCATTCAAAACAAATTTTAAAGAGACAAAAAAAAATTAATGTTTCTGACTTCGCCATCTGAAGACCAAAATCAGACGTGACGTGTTCTGACCCTCTCCCGAGTCTCCTATATGTTTTCTTCCAATGACATCCAGTAGTAATCATAGATTAGGGTCTCTGCTATTATTTAGTTCATTTTGTGTGAAACATTTTTGGAATAGTCCTGAAAGCATTGGGATGTAATTTTCAGAAGAAAAATCACCTCTTGGGAACTGGCTGGAAGAGATACGCCACCCGTAACAAAGAGGACATAATCTCTTGCTCTCTTCGCTCTGGTGTCCTCAAATGGTTGGTCTAATTCGATGCAAGCAATCTTCATTTTTTTGAAACTCCATATGATTTCATCAGTAACAGAATGCCGAAAATGAATTCCGAGCGTTCTCAGAAATAGTTACAAAAGAAAATGCAAAGGAATGGTATTCCTTTTCCCGGATTGAGATGCCTCGCGAGGGAGAGAAAATTTTCAATGTTCCGAGCAGTTTCACTAATCTCCACATCTCTTACAGGGGATTTCATCTGGGACACAATTTTGACGTCCACGAGATCTCCGAAAGAATGTTCGGAGATATCTCATTCGAGGGAATCGGAACTGACTGGTGCGGAGTAGTAAGCGTCCGTCCGTCGGCTCTGATGCCTTCCAAAGATCGACTCGAATACATCTCCATGAATCGGGGCGTCCTGGAACAGTTTCCGTGGGACTACATGCAGCATTTCACAAAATTGGTGGCGATCGACTTCAAATATAATTGGTTGACTGTGTTACCACCTGTGCAGAGCACCAGTCTGGAGAGACTCGTTCTTGCTGGCAATCCAATAACCACGCTGGAGGCTGGCTCGTTCATGCCGAACTTGAAGGATATTAACCTTTGTGAGTTTCCTCTTCTTATGATTACCGCCATGTCTCGCAAGTCTCCCCAAAGATAATGAGAACAAAAATTATTGGGGGGCTTCAGGTACTCGAAGAAAGTGATAGTCGCCCTTAGAATATGTCTACCTTCGTCCACCATAGTCGCCCTTAAAATGTGTCCACACCCGTCCATCGGGGCCAATTCTTCCCTCATTACTTTCCTCCCATTGCCGACTTCTCATGGCATGATGAGATCCTGTGAACTTCTTTATACGCGTCCATCCTTCTGACGGTACCTGGAATTAATCACCAGATCAGGAAAGTAAATTTGTATGTTCCCATATTTCTTATGAATCGGCAACTGATGCAACATTGCTTATCCGTTAGCACTCTTCAATTGCCTGGAATACATGGACTATTTAAATTTATGGACGTCGGTTTCACGTAAAAAGATTCGAGAAACATTGCAGCATACCGCACATCTCTCTCCTATTGTCAAGGGAGCAAGGCAGGTAGTGTTAGTTTGCCTGCTAAAATCCTAACGGGAGATTCCAGAACTATTATTGTACATTTCACTTAATCTAAAAAATCGAAAAAAAGTGTTTTCCCCTTGAAATCGAGAAAATCTCGATTCGGTGCCTAGCAGGGTATATGCTCTTCGCAATTCAAAAAGTCATGTCTTGAACGAGGGCTAAAACACTATATTCCGGGCATTACTTTGCCTTACCCAGCACCAAAATAATATATTGCAATAAGAACAGATATCCAAATCATAAGGCTGGGTCTTGTATTTCACCCCATGCAGATCTGAATAATGTTTCGGAAATCCAACTCGGATTTTTCGAGGGACTCACGGCCTTGGAGAAGTTTTATTGCTATCCCTGCTACCTGGGACCGACCCTGCGGAACGGTACCTTGGCATTCAACAGTCCATATTTGCGAGATGTGGATGTCCTAGCTGGTGGAATCTTAAGCCTGGAATCGCACGCAATCACAGGTTCTGCCACAATGAAATTGTAGTTTTTGTCGTTCATCACGCATTCAACATNCTGCTCATTTTTGTAAGAGGCATCGATGACGCGTTTGAAATCACTTATGAATTGCTGTTTATGGAATCTAAACAACAGGATCTGTTTGATAAGAGTGGAGAAACTGCATCGAAAGACTGATGTTGCCTCAGGAAAATTCAACTAGTGTCACAACAGACGGGTCTCCCAACTTAACTGGTTAAAACGTTGAAATTTTAAAAAGAATCGAAGAGAAAGTCAAAGAGATGAATCCAGATCATATTTACTATTTCTTCATTGCATCAGCCACGTTGAGGTGCTTTGTGAAATTGAAGATTTCGTTGCGAAGCACACCGATATTGCGTATCACACCAATTTCCGTTGGCCTAATTTAGGAAAAGCGACGAAGAGAGCGTGGAAGCTGAAGGAAGGAATCGTCATGTTTCTTTTGGAAACGAAGGGTAAAGATGAAGATTTTCCAACGTTCAAGACACACACATTGGCTCTCTGGCTTTGCCTTCGCCGTGGACGTTATGCGTACATAACGTCCACGGCAATGGACACATTTCAACGACTGGAATCCGAAACTGCAAGGCAAGGGAGTGCCTGCGCAGGAACTCGACCCGACTGTTAAAAACGTTCCAATTCGAGCTACTCCCGTTTACGAGAACCAGAAGGACAGCGCGATCTCGCATTTCCCCACTTTGCAGAGTATCGCCGTGTATACGGCTGACGAGTACAGGAAGATGTCGAGTGACTCGTGTGAGTTTTGCCGGCGGGATTTCGACTATAAGAAAATCGAGAAGGAGCTCGAGCCGCAGTCTTGTCGATATACCTTTTTGACACAATGAAAGCTCCAGACGAACTTCAACCGAAACCGATCGACTTAAAGTGCGATTTCTCTCACGAGGAAATGTTCAACTCTGGTATAACTCATCACTGAATGAAACAAAAATTCTCTAACTTGCGAGCACATGCCAAGACAATGCCGGTGCTCTTCCGTTCCACTTATGTTCACGGGCAAACGTTCTCGTCGAAAAGCAACAAATAAAAGTTGAGGACAAAAATGAATGCCCGGCATTTGAATACAGTGCTGCTAATCTCCGTATCAGAAACGACACCTGACTTCCAAAAACTCATTTTAAAAGAACTGTGGGCAGCTGCACGTGTGCCACTGAGATGTTAACAACTTTAAAATTTATTTTTCGCTTCGAGTATTCAGTGCTCATGTGGCTAGGGAGGCTTTAGTGTTTTGTCATATGGCAAAAATGTTAAAACGCTTGCCCACCCTTATCAAGGGCGTATCCATCTTCGTCCCCCCCCTAATCGTCCTTCGCAGGAGTGTTTGTACTTTGCCACGTGTCCCGCCAAGCATCATTTACAAGGAAGCAAAGAACACGGACATTTCATTTGTTATTCCTACATTCGAGACAGATTCATGGACCCAAGGACAAAAGCAATTTCTTCCACCATGTTTCCACATTTACTTCATTCTGTAGTCGATCCAAGTGGAATAGTCATCTACTGAATTAGGCTCGCTCCTAGCGCAGTCTTCAAAAATGATCGGATCCAAGTCTTGAAAATTCGTTCCATCCGTGCATTCACCCTGCAAGCTTCCCAAAAAGGAAGGATTGAGCACTACCCATGCTATGCTGCAGTCGCACTTCACGGGGTTATCTGCAATACAGACAGAGGGGTGGGGCTAAAAGACTACGTCATTGAGGATTGTGGTCATGCAGGATCTCACCGCGTATAGAGATGTGCCCAGTGCCCACTGAGAGCACCTCCAGCATGGGGCGGAAGGATACCTCCGTCAATTCCCGAATTTCATTATTACCAAAATATAGAGACGTGTTGGGCTGCAAACCTGGAATAGAGACAAGACACGATCTTGAACAAGAAAGAACGTGACGTTGCACTTGCGCTGCACCCAATGACATAGTGGCAATGGGAACGAAAATCACCATGAGCACTCCATGGCACTGCAAACAATCGATAATACCTGTGATCGCATCCGCATCCAGAGTTGAGATTGAGTTGCTATCTATGTGAATCACTTTCATGGTTGCGCTGCGGAATTCCAAAGACTTGGTCGACAGTGTTGGTCCGAAGGTACAGGAGAAACAATAAAATTCCTCCAATTTTCCCATATCGTTGAAGAATCCAGCTGGGACATCTAAAACAGGATTGTGACCTGCAGAAGGAGCAATAAATCCAATTTTTTTCTATAAATTCTGGTGAAATGCAAAATCAATGAAATCAAATTACGTAACTAATACACTAAAAGTGAAAAATGATCAGTCTCACCTTGTAAGTACATTAACTCATCTTACACCTAGGGGTCCATAACTTCTTTTGCAAATTATTTTGTGAAGTGGATGGATTACATGCACATGGTGGTATAAGTAGAACTCATCTCGGACTATTGATTGATGTGACCTCTGCTTCCTTTTCCAAGAGCTTGTTATATAGGGTGATCCAATTCGTTTCCACATGGAAACGCTTCTCGTCAGGGAAGATGGTATGATCGACTTAGTCAGGCGTGAACCTTCGAAGCGCAGCCCTAATTGAAAGAATTCGTAAGTGGTCTAATGCTAGCTAAAAAAAAAGCTCCGTTGTCGATTCTTCCCTAGGGGGGTTTATTTACTTTTTAGCGGCTTCTTGGATGAATAATAATTGGGAACGGCGAGAGAGAGCGATAAGTGGCAATGGGTAACGTTGACGATGTTCGTACATGGAAAAATGATCTGTCACTGGTGATATAAAAGGCGCTGCACATTGGAATAATTTCAATGAGACGATTCGGGGCGAAATTCTCCGCTTCTTCCAGATTCAAGATTTCCTTGGCACTTTGCACAACCAACCACAATGTCTTTAACAAAAAGCCAAAAGGAGAAAAACCCCTCGCCTCACAAGGATCTTCGCCGAATTGGTAGGTGTGCCCAGGGAACCCAAATGCTGAAAATGTATTGATGAATTACTCTGATCGTAAGGCCGCGAAGGCGCGTCCACAGCGCACACAGAATTTATCTTCCTTATGGAAAGCCACTCACGAGTAGTTAGGTCTGCTATCCCAAAAAAAAACTTAGTTCTTTAGGCAAGAAAAGGAAACGTTCCCTCGAGGAGATCTGGAAGCCTAAGGTGGTGAAGGACATATTGCCTCCAGTCTCACATTCACTGCGATCCTGTGTCACCATCCTTCTGGCTAACACACGAATTCAATGAGAATGGGAGACCTACGCGCCTCCGTCTCGACTGTGCTTCCAATGAGGGCCGTGGGTAACGCATGGGAAGCAAAAAAAGACCACTGACGGTCCCGTTCTTTCCGTCTGTGTGTACATGCGTCCCACACTAGAACAAAGGTAGACAATGCAAAAGCGGCATGCAGCTACTGATTCTACTAACACTAGGACTGCTTTCGATTTTATCAGTTCGTCCGTCTATACTTGTTCTAAGTCCGCCTCGAGAGAGAGACTACGAAATTGCCATTTCATAGCAGTCTGATTCGAAATTTGGTCGCAGATATGAGCCCTTGAGGATCTGCATCTCAATTCGCATGCGCGTGTTACATTGTAAAAGGAGTACATGTATCCTCATTGCCAACTCGAAAGAAAGATTCGACGATATGGACCAAGTCCTTCTAAAAAATCAGCATCGTAAGTTCCGAAAGCGTGAATGAGTTCGCCTCTTGAGACTCTAAGCCCTCTCTGGTAGGTCGGGGCTACACTCTATAAGGTAACAGGCTCTACTCCTTCTCCAGCTCTGAACCACTTTGAAGTTTTGGCAAACTGTTCAATGCATTGCTCCGCAGTTCGAGCTTCTTGAGGTTGATAAGTTGAGGGAGGATCTCCCAAGGTAATTCTTCTAAGAAACTTTTCTCGATAGTCAACCTCCGAAGTCGATCTTTCGAGGGTAACAAGGCCGTGGGATGGAGGCTGGCCACGGAGGTCTGGATGACGACGATTTCCTCGAAACTGATATCGCCGAAAGCTCCTTCGGGCAGCACTGAAACGTGACAGTTCCCTCCCAGAAGAAACCGTCTGGAAACAAGAGTGAGAAAATGAATAAATTCCAGCTGCATTGAGTTACACCAGTGATTGTGATCAATCAGCTATACTGAACCTGAGGATTCCATTGAGAAGGACCTGCTTAAAAGATATGACTCATTTTTCCTCAGTCAAGAACATAATCGCTCTTAGCATAATTTTCCACGATAGTTATGCTAAGTAACATATGCAGTAAATCCGTAATCTAAATTGGCGGAAACTTCTTCCAATTCCCATCTGGGGCTGTACAAACTCTTTATTACCACGCACTGACTCCCTTGCATTAAGGAGTGGTGTTGGACTCAATATTCTTATAATGGTCTCACCGCGTCATTCATGGGACGCTGGAACTTTCATGTTGATTTTCGAAAAGATTCAATTACGCAATTCACTGACTCAATAATTTGGAGCACCAGGGCCGTATCAAAAAGTAGCGAGGGTCTGAGCAAGTTAATTCCTAGGGGGGCTCCGTAGAGCACCAACCCCCCCCCCCCCCATCCCTCCGCTACTTGACACAAATTGTTAATATTTTTAATTTCCCTTCGGGTTCCCCCTGGAGGAATGAGGCACGGGGAAATAGTCACCTTTACCGCTCCACCTCAATCCGGACCTAGGGAGAACACCTAGCTATCTAACGTGAGATTGCTGCAAGCATAGTCACGAAAGCGTTGAAATTTCAATTAGTCTAGGAATCGATAGTCCAAACATCGAACCAAGTAACGGAATTACCATTTTAGGGGAATGGTATTTTCCTGTGTAAAACTTCATTCGTGAAGCAATCGAGTGACGGAAAGACCGTGCAAGTTGGACAGGAAGGCTTGCAGTGAACTCTTTATTATCCGTTTTCCCAGGGCATCCTGACATTGTCAATTACGAAAAAGGAACGACGAAATCAGGGAGTGATTGTGTTTTCACGTGGGGCTGCACTTGGCTTTATTTTTACCCAACAGCGACTGGGATGTGAAAGAATGAATGCTTTCCTGAAACTTGGCATTACGTTAATTCTGCTTGGTGGGCAAGGTCTTTCCTAGATCTTGCTCCCAAAATCATCTTACTTGAGATTTTGGACGGGCCAGGCAACATCGTTGAAGGCAGAGTAGATATCGTCGCTTGAAGTCGCCTCCGAACAGTCCACCATCACAGTGTCTTCGGTTCCAAAATAGGAGCAAGTGCAGGGGAGGATTTCAGTAGAATTGGGACAAAGATTTAGCCCGCTAGTCCTGAGAAAGGAATAGAATATGAAGAGGGAGAAGAATGTCATAGCCACCTGCATCTTTAAGGTGCGCGAGCCTGGGAAATGGTTATTAGAGAGTACCGGTGCGGATTAGATCACATCGATGCTCCTTTTGTAGTGAAATGGGCCTGTCCTCGCGGATGTGAAAACCCACACGTTGGAAATAGATAACATCGTGTGATAACGCGTCGGACAAATGTTTTCCTTGTAAAAAAAAAAAAAGCAGGGGATACGGAGCCTATTGCGTGTTATGCCCGAGAGTGTGCCATGAATATATCACAACATGGATGAAGGGAAAAGCAGACCGCTCTCTGAATTTGCTACGAAGGAAATAAGGCACCAATGACGGTATCATTTGTCTTTGCTAGAAATCGATTTTTTCGGACTCATATAGGTAATTCTAAGTTTCCTTATACCATGACAGCGATAGCGTATATCTCTTTGTCTGGATTCCTGTCTGTTCTCATCAACTGACCTCTTCCTGTTCAAGCCCTTCTGAGTGTTTTGAATATTGAAGCATTATACATGAAATACATTTCTCTTTCTGATACAACTACTTTTGCGACTATGAATGGTCATAGATTTCATTTTGAGTGATGTATTGACATCTTAAATTACCGTTTGACGGTAAACATTGGACTACATATTTACATTTCAGGTTGTTGCATCACGACTATGAGCGCATGATGCTTCCTGTAACTGCTCCGGGTAACGCTGAAACTCTTCAATTGTCTCTCAGATTAAACTGACAGTGAGAATATGATTAAATTCCAGTTGCATTGGGGAACCGCAGTGATTTTAATTAATAAGCCCTACTGAATCCGAGGCTTACATTCTGAAAGACATGCTTTAACGATTAGATTCAGTTTTCTTAAGAGTCCAAAACATAATCCCTCTTTGCTCTATTTTTCAATGAACGTTAAGCGAAATGTCAACGTTAAGTGAAGTTTTCGCCAATCTTAATTACCGAATACTTCTTGCAGCTTCCCCCTGGGGCTGTACGAATCCTCCATTGCCACGCACAGACTGACGCATTGGGGATTGTTGATGGACCAAGGATTCTTCTTATGGTCTCACCGCGTCATTAATGAGACGCTGGGACTATTATGTTGATATTCGAAAAGATTCAATTACGCCATGCACTGACTCTATAATTCGGAGCACCCGGCCCTGATGAAGAAGTTGCGAGACCAGGGACAAGCGAATTCCTGGTGGGGGGGAAGGGCTCCCAGGGCCTCCCGAATCCCCCGCTACTTTGCACAAATACTTAATGTTTTTAATTTTCCTCAGGGTCCCACTTGGTAAGAGTGAGGCCCACGCCAACAGCCCCATTCTCCCTGCCCCCCTGAAGGCCGATGCACAATGACTACGTAGTGCTGCGACAAAGCCGCACTGCGACCATCTGCGAAGCGTCATCCACACTGGTCGCAGAGCTCCCAAGCCAAATCAACCAGGTGTGTACTATTTGAGAGCTCGTGCTGCGACACTCTTGCTTTTTTTGTAGGTACAGTTGGTAGGTACGTCCTGCAAGCAAATCCCGTCACCAGATGGGTGAATTCGAGGCCTTAAACTCTTAGAAAAGAAAGCAATTTCCTCAAAACAGAGCGAAAGTGGAGTTAGCGGTTTTGCTCCCAAAAAATATGGAAGTAATGTCCCTGACCTTTTTATTTCCTGAGAACAACCATCAACTTTTTCTACTAGTTTGAGAAGTACTCTCCCTCATTCGTTTCGCGATATTAAAAACATTTGGCTTTTGCTCTTATGAAGAAGATATCGATTGCAATTCCTCGTTTTTAGGGAGTAAAACCGACTACTCCAGTTTCGCTCCCTTTCTGGGATATCGCTCACTTTATTCTGAGTGCAGAAGAAAATATTATCACCTAATACAAAGAGTGTTTTTCTCCTGAGTCCGTGAGAATGCCTCTTGAGCGGTTGAAGACCTTTCTTGATCTGCTGGAAGAGAGGGCTGGACACAAACTTCCGACCCTGCATTTCCCTGCGCGAGTGGTGGCAGTGACATTAATTTCGGTGAATGCATTCTCCATTACATATTCTGTTTATCTAAAATACGTACAAATCAAACAGCACTCTCCTGAAGGAGGGGACAACTCAAGTTTTGCACTCGAAGAACGAGAGCTTCTCAACTTAAAAAAAAAAACTAAATTAAAATTCATGAATTGAAACGATGGAAAATAATCAGGAATATAATTGATATCGAGGTCTTTCTTGGATATTCATCTACTTAAACTATCTCGTTCATGGAGAACCAATGGTGATGATTGGCTTCATCTACCAGAGCTTCCAGCATCTTCAAGGAAAGTGACACTGGGAAGTGGTTATTAGAGTGGTTTGGATCACCTAGATGTTCCTTACGCGGTGTACTGCACTTGTCCTCGCGGATGCGAAAATCCGCACATGCAAATGGATGACATCTTCTGATGAGGCGTTGGGGAAACGTTTTCTTTGTGAAAAAGCTGGTGATATGGAGCCTATTACGCGTTTCAACAAAGAAAGTACCCAGAATATACGACACCACGGATACAGGGAAGAGTAGATAGCTCTCCGAAGTTGCCATGAAGAAAACCAACTTGAGACATTCAGACATTATCATTTTAAAATCATAGGTGTTGGCCAAATAACCATTTTTCGATTCCCTTCCCCAGAAAATTCAGTTGGGAAGTACGGCATTACAGTGGTATTGACTAATAGATGAAGAGAACAAAGTAGCTTAATAAACATGTTCGAAACACCCCGAGTTGGAAATTAGGAAAGTCCAAGAATATCGGTGTATGACCTCACTCTCATCTCCTATTGCTCCGCTTGTGTTGGACATTGCCATAATCAATGGTCATGGTACCCTGAAAACAATCGTATAGGAATTCGTATCGTCGTGTTCAGTATAGTTGATTGCCGTATATTCGTATTATTCCTCGTCCAGCAGTACAAATAGTAGGGAAGGAGAAAAATGTCGGTACAGGAATGGAGCAGCAGACGAGAATGGACAGGGGTAGACAATAATAGTCCCAAACGTCTCGGTAAGAGTGAAATACGTCCATCGGAGTCAGGATGATGTTATACATGACAAACACGATAGCCACGTCACTTTTTTTTGCATAGCAAAAGGACGTGATAGATCCCTCAAATGGTTTATTTCTCACAAACCAGGGGTTTTGCAAAGATGAATAGTTGGGGCATGTTGACCCATAAATTTTTGATGGAAAATGAGTGAAAGAATTTGATTTAAATTAGAAATTGATCAAGTGGGTTGCCTTTGGCTTTTTTATTATTAGCAAATTCGAATCTTTCTTGGGGAAGACATATAATGAATATCACTCTGTTGAAAAAAAATCTTTTTCAGTCCTGTCCTACCTGGGATTACGTGTGATTCTGGGGTTGTCATGATGCTTTAATTGAAATGGTCTAAGACCTTTGTAAGTGGTAACTTAACTCAGCCATGATCCAACGTAGAGCTTCTCCTTTTATGAAAGTCGCAGAGGTGCAGGAGGTCCTTTGGCTGGACTTAGAGGCTGTAGCCTAACCTTATAGTAGGTGAATCCGCTCAAGCCCATTTGCGTAATCAGAACATGAAAAAAGCTTCCATTTCGCAGCCGTTAAAATGTCACTATATATCGGGCTTCCACATGATTCCAAGTTACCTCAGCAGTGACGCCGGTTGCTTCAAGTTAAGTGCCAACGGCCCAACCTGCAGCGTGGTGATTTGATTAACGACAATCGCAAGATACGGAAGACTGGAGCTGTTGAAAGGTCCCAACGTGATCGATTTTCTTCCAGCCCGAGGAACTCCAACCTCGCCAACGCCTCAAGCCGTCCCACGAGAACTCCTCGAAGGCGCTGGACCAGACGAAAATCCGACCGCTACGCGTCGCATCGGAGCAGTCCACCCACCCAATGCCCACATTTGCTCTGGCGCAGGGAAGAATGTCAGTGGCATCAAGCATGGTTTCGGCCCAGGAATGGAAGCGAGGAGGACGAAGAAGGAGGAATGTGGAGGATTCATTCCTACCGAAGGCGAGGGCCCTGCGACAGGTGCGAAGGGAGGACTGGAGTCCATACTAAACTCCCTGACTGTCCCTTATTTCTCTCAATATCGCACGTGAATAGTCGCACCTGATAGTTCCGGAGTTGAGAAATAGTCACATGAATCTATGAGAGAGAGCTAGGGATTGATAGCTTAGTTTCTCTGGCGAAAAAAATCCCCTTCGAGGGAGATTCCCCCATACTGGCGAACGCGGATACATTTTTGATAAGTTTCATCCCATGACTTCCATGGTGAATAGGATTCCATGGTCGACCATGACGGCCAGGAAACGTTGGCCGTTAAATTTTTTTAGACATTTTTTTTCAAAAAAATCCTTGTCATCTTTTTAAGATATGACTTTACAATTTAAAAAATCATGTCTTATATGCCGTTAATCAAATCTCCACGCTGCAGGAAATGATGTTGGCGCTTAACTTGAAGCAACCGGCATCACAGCTAAAGTAATTTGAAATAAGGGTGAAGCCCAACACATTGTGACATTTTAACGGCTGCGAAATTGATCCTTTTTTTCCTGCTCCAATAGCGCAGATGGATTTGAACGGATTCTCGTCCGATATCAGAGATCAAACACGGATTCTTCGAGGACGTGGAGACCCTGCAAGCATTCTCCTCTTCGAGATGCGGCTTGGGGCCGTCAGATTACAGCATCATGGCAAACCCGGAATCGCATGCAATCCCGAGTACGACGTCATATGCAGTAAGATAATTTATTCTGGCAGGAAGAAAACACAAATGTCATATATATCTCTTTCATCTTACTGCTAATATTCATTGCTTCATATTCATGATCATAGATCAAGAATGTACGTTCGCCAGTTCCGCAATCATGCCCGTAAGCAGTTACATCATATTGCATCTCCCACGTTCTTCGTTCTTCCTCATTCAAGAGAACCCCGATCATACAAAAGAGACATGGAATTTTCTGTTCAACGGGTACGATGATTACGAAAAAAAAATGAGCTGCAAGACATCTTATATATCGTCAAGGAAAGGGAGTCAAAGCCTACTACTCCTCTGAAAGGGGGAGTGATTAACGAAAGACAGATACTTTAATCAACCGCCGCTAGATGTCGCTAGCGAGCCCCTTCGATCGTGAATAGCAGGTGTACGTGAAACAAAAAGTTAAATTTCCATCTGAGAAAGAAATAGCCAAGGAAGCCTCTAGTGATCCTAGGCCGGTAGTTGGAACGAGGAGCTGACGTGTCCTAGCTCAGAACCTTAAACGACCTCCGGCCTCGTCAATGATGGCCTCACGGTCACGAGGGCACTGGCCCATTCGAGAACACTCAGGAAGTGCATCCTAATGCCGGGGGAGGGGGGGAAGGTGAAACCAACTTCACCTCCGACGGAGCATACGTCAGTGTGGCATATATGTCGCGACCCTGACCTAAGCCTTTACGGCAGGGACTTTCAACCTCGGACTTCTGGCCGCTCAACGCCATGGACAGAACGGGCAGTGATGTATGGGAATTCTCGTAGCACTTTTACAATTTGGGTACTTTGTAAGGTGGCTTCAGCCAAAAACACCCCTCTGCCTCCCTCGTTATGCTTTTAGCGCTTCCGAAGTAGTAACAGGAAGACAGGCGATGACTGAACATCCCTGTGATAGTACAATCCCCTTGTCATAAAGTCCTCAAATCCAGAGAGCTGCCTTCTCATCCCTTCATCCATGCTGTGGTATATCCATGGCCCTCTCTTGGATGAAACCCGTAATAGGCTCCGTGTCACCTGCTTTTTCACAAGGAAAACGTCTCCCCAACGCATTATCACAAGATGTTATCCATGTCGAAAATGTGCGGATCATCACATCCGCGAGGACAGGTCCAGTTCACTGCAAAAGAAACATCGAAGTGATCCAAGGCTCACCGGTCTTCCTTAAAACCCATTTCTCAGTCTCGCTCACAATCGGAGCGTCGCATCGGAGCACTCCACCCTCCCACTGCCCTCATCTGCTCCGGCGCAAGTGCAAGAAAGGATGTCACCGGCCTCGCGCATATGTTCTGCCCAGGAATGGAAAGAAGGAGGATGAAGGAGGAATGTGGAGTATTCATTCATACAGAAGGCGAATGCCCTGGGACCGGCGCGAAGGAAAGACTGGATGGAATATTAATAACCAGACTGTCCCTTATTTCTCTCCATATCGCACGTGAATAGTCGCACCTGATAGTTCCGGAGTTGAGAAATAGTCACATGAATCTACAAGAGAGTGATATGGAATGAATGCTTAGTTTCTCAGGCGAAAAAAGCCCCCTACCAGGGGGATTCCTCCATACTGACGACTGCGGATACATTTTTGATACGTGCCATCCCAAGTCCTTAATGGTGAATAAGATTCCGTGGTCGACCATGGCTGCCAGGAAACGTTGGCCGTTAATTTTTTTGAGACATGATGTTTTGAACAAAAAAAAGAAACCTTCTCATCTTTTGAGATGTGATTTTATAATTTAAAAAATCTTGTATTTTATGCCGTGAATCAAATTTCCACGCTGAAGGTAAGGTTGTTGGCGCTTAACTTGAAGCAACCGGTATCTCAGCTAAAGAAATTTGCAATCAGGGAGAAATCCGACATATTGTGACATATTAACGCCCGCGAAATTGAGGCTTTTTTCATGCTCCCATAGTGCATATGGACTTGGACGGATTCTAATCCGATATCGGAGATTCAACTCGGATTATTTGAGGACGTGGAGACCCAGCAAGAATTTTCCTTTTCGAAATGCGGCTTGGAGCTTTTTTCATGCTCCCATAGTGCATATGGACTTGGACGGATTCTAATCCGATATCGGAGATTCAACTTGGATTATTTGAGGACGTGGAGACCCAGCAAGAATTTTCCTTTTCGAAATGCGGCTTGGGACCGACTTAGTCAAACGACCCATTTGAGCTCCATGGTGAGATTTTCCAGAATCTGTGTTTAGATTACAGCATCATCGGAACCCCGGAATCGCATGCAGTCCCAGGTATGACGTCATATGCATTAATATAATTTCTTCTGGCAGTATAAAAACTTAAATATTATAATTTTATATCTCTTTCATCATCCTGCTAATATTAATTGCTTCATGTTCTTTTGAAATCGCATTTAATGCACTCACCCGTTTCAGTTCGTGCATTCCCGGCTCCCCAGCCGACATGTACATAGGTGATTCTCTCGACGAATTGAGGATGCAGAGGGGAGAGTCCTCCGACCCTATGGCCGGAGGTCGAGTCGCTCTGGGACGGTGAGATGCCTCTAGGGAGGCGGATGGCAATGGACGGCCCTCGCTCTCGGGCTGCCTTTGAGGATGGGTAGGGATAGGGTTCGATTGGGATGCTTCGATGTGAAGTATTCGAAGTATTATGATGCAATCGGTCCAAACATTTTTTTTATCCAACTGTTTTTTGGAAGAAGCAGACTTCAGGTAATAGATCAAGAAAGTACGTTCGCTAGTTCCGCAATCACGCCCGATAGCAGTCACATCTTCTTATTGCATCTCCCACGTTCCTCGTCCTTCCTCATTCCAGAGAACCCGATCGCGTGCGACTGCAGCATGGCCTTGATCGTCCTCCGACTTCCTGGGAAACGCGGGGCTCCGACGCGGCGGAGTTCC